CTATCTTTCATTTTGGAAATAGAGCAGATTTCAATAGAAATTGCTACTTTTATAAATTAACCTAGTACACCCCCTCTGCTTTCAGGCAGACAACCGGAAATGTTACTTCCTGGTTTTGTTAGCTCAATGCAGCTGACCTCAAAAGGCCAGAAATTGCCCAGAGTTCCTGATTTACAAAGACTTCTCATTAAGCTGCATTGAGAAGTCTGTGATTGGACAGAGACAGGAAGTCTGGGCGGGATTAGAAAGGGATGGATTGAAAAGACAGCAGACAAGAGAACTGCGGGTTTTGCAAGATGATTTAAGATATATCCTCGATTTAAAAATACATAATTATATGCACGTTTTCATTTGGAGTATATCTACTAAATATATTTTTATTTGGGCTGTGGAGTGTCCCTTTAAGATCCCACAGGGCCATATACAGGTTACCAGTTTAGGCCCCCTCTCACCCCCTAATTTTCTTTAACTCTTTCTCTTCTGGGATATAAAGAATTTACATATGGTTTTAAATATTCTCAAAATATATTCATCAATAGTGCAGTGCAAAAGTGGCTAATCGTGCTCATGTGTTGTGCTTTCCCTCAGTCTTTCCAACACTGACTTAGAATATTGGAAGACAATTCTCCAATGCCATTAATCACACAATCAATGTAAAAATTAAAATATATTGAAAAATCATTGAGAAATACTATTATAGGCTGATGTGTTGGGGGATGGCAAAACTAGTTATGCCTGGTTTCAGACTAAAACTACTACAAGTACAACAGCCAACCAAACTACCCGTTACTGAATGCTCTAATCAAGCTAGGAACCTGTTGGGTGTCATCCAATGTTGTCTTTTCATGCAGGGACGTTCTTTTGACGGACTTAATATTCTGGATTTCACCAACCACAATATCTATGTTATAAGGAAGTCATATGCCATTGTTCTATTTCTGAACTATTGTTTGTCTCGTGCTACTGTTAGTGACTCACTTGCATTGATTGAGGCAATGCAGTCAGAGCGTAATACTTTTGTCAGCTGTGAACCATTCAATAAGTAGGTCCTGCTTTTTTTTTTTGCCTCTAAAAGGAATTGGGAATCATTTGTGATCGATCTGGATTGACAGTCATTTCCTTAAACCTTTCACTTTAAATTCTTCTCTTTGAAAAAGAACAACGGTATGATTACCAAGCACATAAATACAGATAGGTTTAAACAGAAATGTTATATATAGGCTGCTAGGTTATAAAACAATAAATTATGTAAATTAACACAATTATTCATCACGTAACAAAGTATTGGGGTATGAAAAAATGTTGAGATTATGTGAAATGCATCTTGTTACAATATTTCTGAAATATTAACATTGTAAAAGATAAAATATTTTTTGGTGCATACAATAAGGTAATAAAACCGCTACAATATTAAAGTTAATGCCATTTTATGGGACATAAGGAGAACTCTTTATAAAAACAATTAGAGCATGCATTCCTTCCTGGCCTTTGGGGATATCAGAGATGAATGTATAGAATTTGAGAATTTATACGATAAAAATGTTGAAATGTATTTTTTTTTTAATTACATTTAAAAAAAAAAAAAAACACAATGGTGTTCCTGTGACTTGATGCATTAACCTCCTGGCCTATGGGGATATCAGAGCTGAAGAGCTGAATGTATAGAATTTGAGAATTCATACGATGAACAACATGTTGAATTTTTTTTTTTTTTATTAAAAAATAAAAAAAAAATGGTGTTCCTGTGACTTCATAAATGCATACAAATAAAAAACATGGCAGGATTTACAATATAACATCCTTGTGAGATATTTTATTTGCATTTGTATTACACAGCCATTTTAGAATGATTATGCTCACCCCACGTGTGTCCTGCTAAAGCTTTGGAAGTGTGTATAGGGATCATTAGAATATTCCTTTCATTAGAGATATTGCCTTTTAGCTAAAATCAGCAAGCTGGATTGTTAGTGTATGACTCACCTAAGAGGTTTGCGTTGACTTTGACATCTGAACCATGCCTATCACTGCCCCATTACTGCTTGGGTTAGTTAACCAGGGCAGAAATGGCCTAGCTCACCGTTTGCGTTGACTTTGACATCTGAACCATGCCTATCACTGCCCCATTACTGCTTGGGTTAGTTAACCAGGGCTGAGGATCCTAGCTCACCGTTAAACTGTAAGTAAAATGTTTATCATGAACAGGGGGACAGCGCCAGGGCACTTGAGTCATCTTAACCATATCAAAGAGCAGGGCTGCCATCAGAAATTTTGGGGTCCCTGACAAAGCACAAGGTCTGGACCCCCTCCATCCTGGGCCCACCCACACCCTACCTAGTCCGCTGACAATGATGCAGGACTGAATGTGGTGTGTATAGTGGAAGTGAATTAGAATGGATGTAATGGATGTAGTGTTTGTGTGTATTAGATACTGTTTGTGCAGTGAATGCAGAGTGTGTGTTTGTGTAGCTGATGCAGTGTGTATAGTGAACGCAGAGTGTGTTTGAGTAGTGGATGTAGTGTATGTATAGTGATGTAGTGTGTGTTTGTGTAGTGGATGTAGTGTTTGTATGTACTAGATGAAATGTGTTTAGTGGATGCAGTGTATGTAGTGTGTGTATTAGACTCAGTGTCTGTGTATAGTGAATGCAGAGTGTTTCAATTTGTGGTGGATGTAGTGTGTGTACTGTGAATACAGGATGTTTGTGTAGTGGATGCTGTGTGTACAGTTAATGCAGAGTGTATGTTAGTGCAGTGAATGCAGTGTGTGTCAGTATAGTGAATCCAGAGTGTGTGCATAGTTTAGTGAATGCAGAGTGTGTGTTAGTGTGTAATGAATGCAGAGTGTGTGTTAGTGTGCAGTGAATGCAGTACGTGTGTAAATGTGTAGTGAATGCAGAGAGTGTGTTAGTGTGTAGCGGATGCAGTACGTGTGTAAATGTGTAGTGAATGCAGAGAGTGTGTTAGTGTGTAGCGGATGCAGAGCGTGTGTTAGTGTAGTGAATGCAGTGAGTGTGTTAGTGTGTAGTGTATGCAGAGTGTATGTTGTATTAGTGTATGCAGTGTGTGTGTTGTATTAGTGTATGCAGAGTGTGTGTTGTGTTAGTGTATGCAGAGTGAGTGTGTGTTGTGTTAGTGTATGCAAAGTGTGTGTTGTGTTAGTGTATGCAGTGTGTGTGTTGTGTTAGTGTATATTAAATTAATTAAATGTTTCTCCCACCTCCCTGCTTCTTACCTGTGTCCAGGGAGGGGGGAGATTCCATCCCTGGTGGTCCGGTGGCATGGGGGCCCCCCCGGCTCCCTGTTACTGCAGAGGGGGCCCAGCCTACTGTCTTTTCTCTTCTCTTCTCCTCTCTTCTAATAACTCTCACGAGACCCACGGAGCGTTGCCATGGTAACCGGGTCTGGCGAGAGTTATTAGAAGAGAGTAAAAGCTGTGTGCTGGGCCGCCTCTGCGGTAACAGGGAGCCGGGAGCCCGCGGCTGCACACATAGATAGCGATATTCGCTATCTATGTGTGCAGAGAAGGAAAGTGGGGCCCGGGACTGCCAGAGCAGTCTGGGCCCCCCAGGACCGCCGGGCCCGTGACAACCATCATGGTTGTCACCCCCTGATGGCGGCCCTGTCAAAGAGTGGGCATGATTCATTTTTCACTGTAAAAATATTGTCAATGAATGTGATGTATGTAGCAGATGCATGGAATGGTTACCCAGAACAGATGCCATGATAGATTCATGAGGTGTACTGTACCTGAGAAGCAATGGGATAAATCTTGAGATTGTCTGGAAAATACCATGAAATGGTACAGCAATTAAGGCATGTTTTATTTCCTGCTTGTGAACCAAATAGTTTAGAGGAATTATAACCCGTTTCTATGGGGGAGTGCCTTCTATCACCGGGGCTTTAGTAGATAAGCTACCAGGGGTGATGCTGAGAAACAACACAATTGCCTATATATTGTAAGTTCCATTAAAGGTCATTGACCTTAAAGTTGTGGAAGCAAATTTAGATGCTATTTCATTTGGGGGCATTATGAAATGTCTGATAGTAAATGAATTGTCAGGATTCACCTAGTCCTAACTGAAAGTACCAGGTTACAAAGAAATAAACACATCTATATAAATATATCACATGATGCATTTAAACCAGGGTTTGGAATACATTAATTGCCCCCTGTAAAACTTTAATTCCTACACCACCTGCCCCATCCTATAGCCTGAGATGAGCACAAAAAGTAAGCACACACCTAGTTAAGGGCCATTCTTACCTTCATAACCACTGCTCTCCATTGAAGTGGTTATAGTGCCTGGAGTCCCAATGAAGTTCTGATAATTGCACTTTAGTAAATAATTGACTGTTACGTGAACATATATCTAAGAAACTGTTTATTGTTTAAAATGTATTTACACAGAAATGAAAAAAAACAAAACAGGTAAATTCCTGGTAATCTGGGTGTTGCTAATAGAGTGACAGAGTAAAGAACACATGGGAGATTCAGATTACATGTAGTTATTAAATTTAGACAGTATATGACATAATCAGAAAATACTACTTATTGATTACCTCTGTGAACAGTAGTGTTCACTGACATCTCACTGCTGGTTCACAGAATAGCTACATTACAAATGCTGGCAAAATCAGTTTTTACACGTGTAGAAAAATATTAAAAGGAAAAAATGTCCAGTACAGGCCTATACTTGAAAATAAAATCTGACAGAAATGCTATGACCTTGAGCAAATCACTTTAGGCACTGTACAGATTGCATTAAAATACCTTTATTTTTTTTCCTTACAGGTGTTGTAGACGTGTTGATGTTTCATTGATATGAAGATCATTTTTTTTCAATGAATGCTGTTACAATTTTTAGTTTTCTACCTAAACCAGAGGTGTCCAAAGGTAGACCTCAGCTGTCAGTGGCGTACACACAATCCATGGAGCCCCCGTACGAAACTGATCCGTGGCCCCCCATTCTCCCACCACCCCCCTCCCTATTCGCCCCCCGACAGACACACACATATACATAGACAGTCACACACATAAATACAGACCGACACACACATACATACAGACAAGCACACACATACAGGCAGACATACACACACATTCATACACAGACAGGCACACATACAAACACACACACACAATATTTAAGTCACCCTCCTGTTTCCTACCTTTTAGGTGCAGGAGGGTGACTGGGGTCCAGTGGTGGCTCAGGTGGATGGGAGTCAGAGTTCCCACTCTGACTCCCTGGTCTTCCTCCCACGCGGGCTCTCAGTAATAGCTGGGAGGAGTGACATGCCATCACTTCCTCCCAGCATGTGATGTAATCAAAGGGGGTCCGGTCGCGCTGTTGAAGCGCCCAGCGCTGACCGGGCCCCCTTACAATCCATATCTATCGGGTGGCCCTGACACCCTGAACCTAAATTTATCAAAATCTGCACACTCTTTTTATAATAAAATACTGGGTAATATACTTTTTTAACAAGATCATATCTATGATAAATGTATTAATTCTGACAAAACTTTGACTTTCTGCTCTTTCTCTCTTTTTTTTGCTAGCTCCGATTTTAGCCTATTACTATTTTCTGTATACAGTTGGATTTACTCATTAAAATGAATAATCCAAAAATTAGTTTAGTAGATATACTCCCAATGAAAACATACATGCATTTTTTTTATTAAAATTGGGTTATACCTAAAAACATCCTGCAAAAGCTGCATATCTATTGTCTGCACCCTTTGCAATCCCTTCCCTTCTAACCCCGCCCAGACTTTCTGTGACTGCCCAATCACAGACTTCCTAATAAAAGAAGTGTTTGCAAGGCAGGTGCTCTGGGCAATTGCTGCCTCGTGCGTTTAGCTCCACTGAGCTAACACAACCAGGAAGAACACAACCTCTGGCATCAATCGAATAACCATTTTTAAAATAAACCTGCACTTTTTGTAAAATGAGAAACAGAGGACCCACTCCTAAAACACTTCTGCAAGCTAAGCTGCATCGTCGCTTTACATCCCTTTTAGTGAACTGAAACCAAATTGCAAAATGTAGATGACAAAAGCAGAATTTGAAAAACTCTTCAAGCTATAGTCAGTAAATGATTTTAGTGTAGGTTTTGCAATTTCTTTTAGTCAATTCACTGCATTTCAGTATTTAGGGTATAAGCCCTATTATTTTTAGCCAGGTTACCTTGTAATATTATAGTTATGCTGTATAGCACTTGCATATGATTTTGTGAAATTACATATGGTGAATCTTCCAAGACTCGGTTATAATATGTACCTGCAACAACAAAAAATGTAACTACTCACAAATAAGTTATTTACCTGTGAACTCCTACTAAGAATGTTGGACCACACTGTAGATTCGGATTTGCTACCAGTAGCGTATTGACAATATCTAACTGTGTTTTCATATTCACACTCTTCTTATTTCTCTCCCCTCCCCTCCCGTAATGCTTACATTTCTTTCAGAGCATAAGTGCTTACTAGACTTGTATTTGGATTAACTAAATCATCCAAGAATAGTGATGTCCCGAACGGTTTGCCGAACGGTTCGCCGCGGAAGGCGGACATAAACATAAACTTTGACCCTGTTCCTCACAGTCAGCAGACACATTCCAGACAATCAGCAGCAGACCCTCACTCCCACCTCCTGAACAGCTCACTAAGCATGCAGCTTCACAATGAATGTCAAATGGATGCTGTCCAGGAGGTGGGAGGGTCGGGGGGGGGGTCTGCTGATGATTGGCTGGAATGTGTCTGCTGACTGTGAGGTACAGGGTCAAAGTTTATGTTTATGTTCGCCGTCCGTGGCGAACCGTTCGGGACATCACTATCCAAGAATAATCTGTGGACCTATATTCACTGAATAAAACTCCACAGGTAAATCCCAGACGGATTGATTCTTCCAGATATGGATTAAAAGGCATTTGATTCAGACAAACTGGTCCAAATTAACCACTGCACAAATCTAGTAAGCACTTTCTTACTAGCAGTGCACTACACTGTAATAGACAGAGGGTATGTATCATGGTTGTGTGATAACCCAACACACAGTATGTAAACCCACAGAAAACCCAAGCACGCATTACCGAACCTTAGAATAGTCAGGATTAAAGGTCCACTATAGTGCCAGGAAAACAAACTAATTTTTCTGGCACTATAGTGCCCTGAGGGTGCCTCCACCCTCAGGGACCCCCTCCCGCCAGGCTGGATGGAGAGAAAGGAGTTAAACTTACCTCTTTCTCCAGCGCCGGGCGGAGAGCTCTCCTCCTCCTCTTCGGCTGAATGCTCATGCGCGCATTCAGCCAGTCTCATAGGAAAGCATTTCCTATGGACGCTGGCGTCTTCTCACTGTGATTTTTCACAGTGAGAAGCACGCAAACGCCTCTAGCGGCTGTCAAGAGGCTATTATATTATAAACATAGCAGTTTCTCTAGTAACCCTAGCTGGACCTGGCACCCAGACCACGTGATTAAGCTGAAGTGGTCTGGGTGCCTATAGTGGTCTTTTAACGTAGGTAGAAAAGATTAGTCAAGGGATTGCCAAAAATCAGGATATCGGAAATCAGGAAAACGATACAAGAATAGCCGGGTCAGGACACCAGAAATCAGAGAGTAAAAATAGAAACAGAGTCAGGGGAACAGAGAAGTCTAAAGCCAAACTGAGTCAAAACACAGAAATAACAATATAAATCGCAAGGAGAACCAAATAGCACTAAGGGGAACACAAGGAACCAAAATAGGGCAAGGAACAAAGCAAAAGGCGCCCTTTTTATAAGGGAGCTTCTTTTGCTTTGAGGCCACGCCCCAAAAACATTCTGGGCCGGTACTGATGACGTGGGACTGCGTCATTGGAGTGACTCCAGCGTGTACTATGCCGATCTTGTTGGGAGAGGAGTCTGCCCTGGATCCTGCACCACGTGGGCGCGATGGAACAAGGTCAGAGATGGTGACAGTATGAAATACAGCTAACAAATAAACAACTGGATGGAGATCTGTACTGCCACTGGCTGCTCTACCACTAGTCTTTTCCTCACTCCTTTATGTCATGTGCCAACTGTCCCTTTTTTATCTGGATTGTACAGCATTTTGGGTTCCTCTCCTGTCAAAACTGGGTCCAAGAGATGTGCCACATTCTGAAATCTGTCCAGCAGTTTGGCTATTAAACTTACGTGCCAGGCAAACTTCTGAAAGCAGCAGACAGGGTCCTGGCATGAAACACAGGACAAGGAATTAGGACCACAAACACAGCACATCAGCAGCGCTTTCTGTGCATGATCTGCCCTAAGAGGGCCATCCAGGGATGGAGACTTTCGGTAAGCCTGGCGAGCATACACACCAGGCTTTTTACGTTATGGGTGGACTTGCCCCCTTATTGTCACTCACCTTCAGTCCTTGCTCACAAACACTCGTAGTTGGCATGTATACCATACACTACCTGGTATTGATCATGAGGGACAAGGTTTTCATATCCACGGCTCAAAATGTCCACTCGCCAATAGCCATTGGTGAATATTAGCCATAGGTTTTAATTTAATTTTCAGTGGGATTAAAAAAACTGACATCCAAGAGGCAAAAAATTAATGACAACTGGCCTGTTTAAAAAAAAAAAGTAGCTGGGAGCCGTAATGGTACCTGTAGTTACGTTCACAAAACTGTAAACTGCTCATCTAACCTGCTGAATGGAATTACTGGAATAACCCATAAACTCTATGGCAAATTCTGATAAAGTGTATTTTTTAAAATAAGTTATTAAAATCTACTCTCCATTTCTTACATCACTTGAACAGACATATTTTCTGAATGAGTTTTTAAAAAGAAAATAAACATCAGTGAAAGTTACATTCTATCCAGTAAAGGATATCCTGCATATATATTACACCTCGATTTTTCTTTAGAGACAGGTTTCCTGCACCTTTCATATTTCAATATAAAGACGCATATGTTCACTGCAATGGGTTTTGCTGAATTGTGTTATTTGATACGGCTGGCCGCCCTCTCTCCTATTTATACCTGCAGTACTCATAATTCCTGTGCATTGGTAGTGCAGTATCAATTCTATTATGCCTGAATGTACACGGTGCCTTTGTTGCTCCCAGAAGTCATTACATACAAGTAGGGACTATAACCTACAAAATTATGTGTGCTGTATATTCCGAGAACAATATGATATCAGTTGTAAAAGAAAATTTGGGTGGGGAGATTCTGTTGAGAAAGAATTGAGTCTGTTGTATTCCGATAAAAGCTTTGAAGAATTAAACAAAACAGGCTTTGCGTATCGATGAGAGCCATCTTCCTGCTGTTGACAGATGTTTTTCTTGTACTGATACAGTCACACTGCTAACACAAATAATACTCTTAAAGGACAAAGGATGCTATCGGAGATATTGTTCTTGATCTTCTTCACAGATGCCAACCCATTCCTCTTGTTTCTCGTCTGTGTCTGGAAGGTCTTTCCATAGCAACAAGCCAGTACCTAAAGAAGAAACAATAGTAAAAATTAAGAATCTTAACCCCTTAAAGACACATGACATGTATGGCATGTCATGATTCCCTTTTATTACAGAAGTTTCATCCTTAAGGGGTTAAACAAACAAAAAACACCCACTGGCTTATTAGCTGAATAAGCAATTGTGAAGAACTTACAAGAACATTTAAAAAAAATGTTCTTAAACAGTTTAACTCCACAGTTGCCTCCAGCGGCAGTGTCCACTGACCCTACAGGCGGCATCCAACTTCTGAATTTTCAGATTCAGGAAGCGTGGAGTGCCACTGAGCAGGGGCACCACTGATTGGCTGAGAGGGGTCAGCAGATGCTCTCAGTCAATCACTCTATTCACTAAACTGGCTTGGAAAGAAACTTACCTTTTCTAAGCCAGTCTAGAGAACGCTAGATCCCCTTGAGCTAAGAGTGCCCCCCGATGCTTGGAGTATCCCTTCAAGTAAAAAGAATATTAAAACTAATGGAATTAACAGATCCCTTTAATGTGCTAAAATAAGCTGTGCTGGCTGGTTTGTTTATATGGGACAATGGAAAAGATTTTATTTATATATATATATATATATATATATATATAATTTCATAACTTAATCCTGTTTGTAGGATTAGGAAACATCATTATGTGCTTACTGGTAATGTTGAAGTCTGTTCATCAGTTTATCATTATAGAGGCACTGACCAGGGCCGCCATCAGGGGGTGACAACCATGACCCACTTTCCCTCTCTGCACACATAGCTAGCGAATATCATGGCTCCGCGCGGCACGCAGGCCGCGGGTCTCGCGAGAGTTATTAGAAGAGAAGAGTAGAGGCAGTGTGCTGGGCCCCCTCTTCGGTAACAGGTAGCCACGGGGGCCCCACCATGCCACCAGGGATGGAATCTCCCCCCTCCCTGGACACAGGTAAGAAGCAGGGAGGGGGGAGAAACATTTAATTAATTGAGTATTAAATTAAAAAGTTAATGTGAAAATGCCCCTTCCTCCCCCCACCCCAGATTGCACATTTACACACACACACTGCATACACTAACACAACACACACACACACCGCATACACTAATACAACACACACACTGCATACACTAACACAACACACACACACTGCATACACTAACACAACACACACTCTGCATACGCTAACACAACACACACACCATACACAAGTACAGCACACACTCTGCATTCACTACACTAACACGCACTTTGCATTCACTACACACTAACACACTCTCTGCATTCACTACACACTAACACACTCTCTGCATTCACTACACTAACACACACTTTGCATTCTCAACACATTAACACACTCTCTGCATTAACTGTACACACAGCATCCAGTACACAAACATCCTGTATTCACAGTACACACACTACATCCACCACAAATTGAAACACTCTGCATTCACTATACACAGACACTGCGTCTAATACACACAATACATCCACTACAGACACTGCATCCACTAAACACATTTAATCTAGTACACACAAACACTACATCCACTACACAAACACACACTACATCACTGTACACACACTACATCCACTACTCAAACACACTCTGCATTCACTATACACACACACTCTGCATTCACTGCACAAACAGTATCTAATACACACAAACACTACATCCATTACACACATTCTAATTCACTTCCACTATACACACCACATTCAGTTCTGCATCATTGTCAGTGGACTAGGTAGGGCATGGGCGGGCCCGGGGGGGAGGGGAGCCCAGACCTTGAGCTTTGTCAGGGGCCCCACAATTTCTGATGGCGGCCCTGGCACTGACTACCATTGAAGACTGAGTGGATACTGTGGAAGTCCTCTGCCGAACTATCTAAGTAGCAGGCATGGAGCCTGGCCTGACATAGGTGCCAGAAAACCCCCAGGCTTTATCAAACTGATTGAAAATGTTATAGCTAAGTTCGCCTTCCTTACCCTCTAGAAATAATTGAGTCCTCAAGTACCACCTACCAGTCCAGGACTTAGGGATTACTCTGTTGTATCTAAAGGTTTTTTTTTTCTTTTTCTAAAAAACACCCTAGACACAACCGGGTAATCCCTAAATCCTGGACTGCTAGGGGGTACTTGAGGACTAGGTTGGGAACCACTGCTCTAGAATGTAAGCTCATTGAGCAGGGCCCTCCACCTCCCTGTTCCTGTATGTTCAGTTGTCTGGTTACAATTACATGTCTGTTAGTCCACCCATTGAACAGCGCTATGGAATCTGATGGCGCTATATAAATAATAATAATAACACAGAGGTCTCACGGCCTTGTGAGGAAGCCCAAATAGCTATTTAATTTTTCCTGCATAGTGCAAAGCTGGTCGTTAAATAGTTATTTATGTCAAGCTCATTGGAGAATTTACTGACATGAGGTGTCCAGCAGAGATACATATAAAACACACTTATCTACACTCTACACTGTGCTTCTGGGTGTTCCTAAGATCCTCTTTGTGCTTTTTGGGCACAACTTACATGATTCCCTGCATTTGTTAACTTAAACGCCATAACCAATCTCGCCACATTGCATTGGAGAAGCCTGGTTGCTCGCCTGTTGCCTTTGGATTATGGCCCCATGTTAAAAGGCTTGATTTTCCCCTGCAAAGACATGAAAGACGGTTCATTTGGTGCTTGCCCTGTTTGAGCGGTGATACCCCTGATGGCTATGGCATGGAGCCCATTCATATAATGAAAGACTATGGGAAAGACTTTGGCTCCATGGCAATTGAACTGTATGTGTGTGCTCTGAGCGCCATTCAGTAATAATGTGCGCTCAGATCTGGGGATATGTTGAATGTACCTGTTTTGTGCAATGGCTGCACAGTTATATGTTTTTATGTGTTTTATTGTCTTTTGCTGCCATGTGTTCAATGGAATTTTGCCTCTGTCCTTGGAGATAATTGGATTACTTCACAATTATCTCCAGGATAGAAGACTCTGTGGAACTGGTTTTGGGCAGAAAAGCCATGCTTCATTTGGTCACAAAGGACTACGATCTATCTTTTGAACCACTGGACCAATTTGTATGATTTTGAAATATGTTTGTATTTGGAGTGTGCTGATTCTGAAAATGTAAGTTTTATGTGATGCATACTTTTCAAGTTATGATTTATGTGGAAAAATTGTATTTCTCTGCTTGTTATAATTACATTACCCATTGTGTAAGGTAATTGTATCACAGGCAGAGGGGAGGATTTTGTGTGGGAGTGTCTGAGTGTATTGTATGTGTTTATTGGTTGTGTTCCAAAACCCTGTGAGTGGTACTAATGTGTATTGTGTACATTAGCACAATAAACCCACAGCTCTGACTGAACACTGCTTGACCCTCAACACGGAGCCTTGTCTCGTCTTTGGGGGGATTTACTGAATGCTGATAGAGACTGATTGCTAGGAGTGTAAACCGCTTGGATGCTTTTCCTATTCGTCTGCTAGCAGCTCTTCGTATGGTTCCAGTTCGAGAGTTTGGAGTGTTATATTGTATGCAGTTCGGGAGATTGGAGCATTCCCTTATTTGCAGTTCGGGAGTTTGGTGTTCTACAGTAGCTGTGCCTGCATCTGGAAGGGGAAGATCTACTAAACGGGAGTGTTTAACCCTTTTATGCCTGGGGGTGCCGTTACACATGTTATTTATACATTGCATTAGCAGAAAGGCAAGCAAACATATACAGCGATATCTTTTAAAGTGAGAATTGAAAGTGAATTTTACATTTAAGGCCAGAGTAGCCAAACTGAAAGCTGATTTAATGTTTCCAATTTGGCTATTTTGACTTTAAATTTGAAATTCACTTTGAATTCTCACACTAGCAAATACAAACTCAGAATAATAAATGTATGTCTCTCACTTTGCCAGATTATTAATGAACAAGAGGTTTAGGTTTCACTCATAAATTAAGCCAGCAACACAGGTGAGACGTGTACTGCTATAGGATTTGTTACTGTGTAGGCAGAACGTGTGGATGGTGAGCACAGGGAGTGGTTGTTACAATACTAGGAACAGTGGCGTACTAAGTGGGGGGGCAGGGGTCCTCCCTGGGTGCCACCAGGTAGGGGCGTGCCAAGACGAGGGCCAGGGATGTGTGAGCTGTGTGGCTGCACAGGGCCCCACGACAGCTTGGGTGCTGGGAGGCCCAACACAGCCAACACACGCAGGGACCAGCATGCAGCCACTTCAAAGCGGACCGCACAGAAAGAAATTGGGGGCGGGGCCAATCCGGCAGCTGGGACGGAACTTAAAGGACCACTATAGTTCCTAGCACTATAGTGCCCTGAGGGTGCCCCCACCCTCAGGGACCCCCTCCCGCCCGGCTCTGGAAAGGGGTTTAAACTTACCTTTTTCCAGCGCTGGGCAGAGAGCTCTCCTCCTTCTCTCCTCCTCCGTTCAGCCCGTCGGCTGAATGCATACTTGTAGCGGCAAAATTTCTTGTAGCGCATTCAGCGTGCATAGGAAGCACATTTACAATGCTGCACGGGCAGCTAGCATGCTCTCACTGTGAAAATCACAGTGGCTTATATAGCGCCTCTAGTAATGTCAATGAGGGGCCCAGCCACTAGGAAAACAGGAAAACTTAACCCATTCATAAACATAGCAGTTTCTCTGAAAACTGCTATGTTTATGAAAAAATGGGTTAACCCTAGCTGGACCTGGCACCCAGACCACTTCATTAAGCTGAAGTGGTCTGGGTGCCTAGAGTGGTCCTTTAAGACGGCCCCCACCTGCTACTGCTACTGCTGTACTTCGAGGGGAAACAAGAAGGAGTACCTGCTTCCCCAACTAAAAGACTTCAGTGAATCCACTCCTCCTCCAGTGCATTGTCTGTAAGAGACAG